AAAACTTCAGTTTTTTCCATGTTAAAATGTAGCCCAGAACGAGACCCTTCCTCCATAATCAACTGCAGAACCTTCCCCACCACCAATGTGTCTCCAATAACAGTGTCGTCATCCAAATACCAAGCCTGAAGACATACATCAAAAGTTTATCTGGTTTTACACACTAGGGGTTGTAAAAACAAAGCAAAAAGCAAAGGACCAAGGGGATCACCCTGCTGCACCCCCTGAGACGACCATAAGGTTTGGTCCCCATAATACAATCTAGCTGGATTAGAATAACAGAATTCAACCCATCGCGAAATGCCCGGACAACGACGACGGACCTCACGTAACATGACCGAACGATCAATTAGATTGAAGGCATTTTGAAAATCAACCAACAACATAGAAAGACCAACATCAGAACCACGGTCCTCAATCAACCGATTCACTGCATGAAGAATTGCCTCGCCACCCGAATAAACCCCAACACCAAATTGAAGACCATCAAAGTAACTTCCTAAAGACTGGCCAACCATAACGGCACCCACCTTCGAAACCAGACGCCGCCAAACAGTACCCACAACAATAGGACGAAGTCCACCACCGGGCTTGACAAGTGGTGTAAGAGGAGCACTAGCAATATACTTCCCAGTTGCATAGGAAATTTTCCATCTAGAAAGAGATTAACCACCCCGAAAATAGAGTCAACTAACTCATCTGATACAGCCACGGCGGCACCACTCAAGCAATCCATAAGGTGCTGAGCACGTAAACCGTCTCTACCACATGATGTGCCATGGGGAAAACTCTTAATCCAATCCAAAACAACAGCAGAATTAGTAACGAGACGAAGGCGATCAACAGGTATATCAGGCAAGGATGGAGGTAGAGAAGTAGGGTGTTTAGACCGTAAATCCGTGAGAGTGGCCTCATTATAAGGAGCAACGCTTGAAGAAGAAAGTACCCGGACAACAGCGGTGTAATGGCCATCACAAATATTCTTACAATACTGCTTGATATTACGCTCCTCCGAATCAAGGTCCTCATTATCAACCATTGAGAAAGTAGGAGAATCCACTGCCATAATATCCCTCACAAGCTGCAAATTACCACCTGGTGCACTCCAAGAACAAATAGCACGGGAAATACTCTCTTCTTGAAGCCAACGTTTTGCCGAAGACCTAGATTCAGAGTTGCTCTGCGGACGAAAGGTTTTAAGGGTGTAAAGAGGTAACACCAACAAAAAGACCCAACTAGAAATGTCAAAAAAAGGGTGTTTATTCAATTAAGAAAGGGTGTTTATGCCTCAAAAAAAGTAAAATAAACAAGGTATTAAACCCAAGCTAATGTCGGCTATAATAGCGTCATTATATACCTGAAACCAAGTAAAGTCAGAAACCCACAAAATCAAAAAAATCACCTTTTCCCTCAAAAATTTGCCGAAAAAGCCCGGTATCTAGTAAAAACAATTGATCTGAAAAACCTAAGAGCTCTCTAAAATGGCGTTTGAAATTGTTAACCTCAATGGTATAATTCTTTCTTTCACTTAGTTAATTTCTTGTTGATTTTTTATACCATCAATTTTTCTCATTATTCAATTTCTATAAATATCTTTTTGATGTTTCATTTCTTCCATTTTTCTCATTAATTATCTAAGCTACTTTCTGTTTAACGTTGGTTTCATATCTTCAATTTTTTCTCAATACCTATTTTCTGTTTAATGTTTTTTCAATTTTTCAAAAAATAATGAGTGACATAATTAATTTTTGTTTTGGGTTTGATTTCAAGAACTTCCAAGGCAACACCCACTGCAGATAAACGAGCTTCCAGGACCGAAAGGAGCGTACGAGATGAAGAAGATAAAAAACGGGTATTACCTTCGTGTGGACATGCCGGGAGTGATTTGAAGGTTATAAGGTACAAAGAAGAAAAGGAGATTCGTTTTCAAGGCTACGCCAAAAGACTCGAAGATATTCTCACATTCAAAGATTCAAATAGGTTTTATGTTGTTATTGTGAAAGTTGAATGTCAAGACTTTGATCAAGTCGTAGTTGAACATGAGATCATAAATGGAACCTGCAGAATTCTCATTACTCGAGTTGATAATGCCTCCCTCATTTTTCGTACTTCTTCTAATAAGAAAACTGGTGAGATTCTTTTAATTTTTTTTTCTTGAGATTCTTTTGTTGAAATTAATTATCACGAAATCTAATCTTGTTCTGTTCCAACCAACGTTTTTAGATGAAGGGTCATCAAGTTCATCTTCTAAATCTTCGGGCACATATAATCATCCTTATAGAGTTCGAATTGGTAATGAACAAAGTACTTTCATGCATATCTATATGTACACTATTCAAATTTATTTACGTCATTTTAATTTTGTATGATAATTAAGTATTTTTTTCCCATCAAACAAATTTTTTGTACGTAGATGGAATCAATTTGTTGGATCGGCACAACGATGATTGTACATGCTGCCATGGGGAGAAAGGACGAAAATATTTGAACGGTAAAATAATAATCTTAATCTTTTTCATGTTAGTCTTCCTACATAATTAATTTCTTTTTGTGAAACATAACATAAAATACGTGTTATAATGTTATTGCAGGTCCATTGAGCGAAGAGGATGGTCGAATTTACGGATACATAGCTCCAGAAGAGATAGGCGCATTTGAAACAAAAGTCGCGGCAGTAGGGGATGGGACGGGGGACTATTTCATGTTCTTCCGTATGGATATGCCGGATTGCAGTGTAGACCTAAAAACCAAGGATTGCAAGTACACGATAGTTGAACACCGTGTTGCGGTCGAATGGCAGAATTTCATAACAAGTTTAAGTTGGATTCAAATGGTGGACGAAGGAAGTACTGCTGTCAGATTATATTGCCTTGCGGTATTAACTGCTGTACGTTCTATCGTGGTAACACTGTTAGCAGTTCTGGGCTAGTTGATGGGGTATTTAGGGCATATATCAGGATTAAAAAGAGTAATGTTTACAAGGAAGATCCATCCCTTCCCAGTGACAGACTTCAGTCGTTGGAATTAGAACGTCGTTATGCTGAACCTTGTGACGACTCCGCCGAGTGTTCTACTTCAGCTTCAGTGCCTCAGACTCCCCATCGTGGCGGCGACAGCAGCAGCGGTGCCAGGAGGTGATTACTTGCATCTATGTTGATAAACGCCAGCAAGGCTTGCAACAATTTGCTACTCAAATGTATCGCTAGTATTCCATTCTGCTAAGTGCTCTTTTTTTAGATATATAATAGTCTTTTTTTTTTTAAGGGAAGATCATAGTCTTTAATTAGGAAGCAAAACTCTTTTCTTTTATGTTAGTAATAGGTTTATAACAAACAATAAGGGATTCTTGTTACTGCGTGCTATTCAATAAAGAGTATTGTACTTGTACTAATGAAGTATATACTAAGCAATCCAACAATTAGCTTAGTTAACTCGTCATCATTTCGTATATTCTTTTTACCTCAAAAGCTAGCCAAATTTTTTTAAAAATAAAATAATATGTATTATATTTTTGTGTGATTTTAGCCACTTATTTTTTTTATGCTAAGTGTATTATACTTTTTTATGTGAATTACATCGCTGAGGTTACATTGCCATGCGGAGAGTGCTGTACATTTGACTATGGTATACTAGGCAGTTAAGCTGCTCTTACTGATGGGGTATTCAGGGTTTATTGCAAGATTAAAATGAGACGTCCTGCTGCTACCGTTGACCCTAGGCTTCTTCACACGGAACGTCCTCGTTCTAAGCCCTCTGTTGTTCCGGCCTGTGTTCCACTTCAACGAGCTCCAAGCGCCACGCCAAGAAGAAGTGACTGCAAGCAACCTGCTATGTTACATACTGAAATGTTTGATATTCTGCTAAGTGTAGTACGTGTTCTTTTTTAAGATAGTAATCTTTAGTAAGGGAAACTCTATTCTTCTAGCTATATTAGTAGACCTATAGAAAAATAAGGGAATTGTTTCAGTAATGTTACTGCGTGCTATTGTATTAGTTTGGTATAACTTAGCTTACTAGCTTTATATGACGATTAGTTAATTGGTAATAATAATGGTAGATCTTCTTTTTTGGGAATGAGGAATTCTTGTTATTGCGTGATATTAACAAAGGAGTATTATACTTTTCCTTTACAAAAAAAAAAAATAAAATAAAAAAAATGAGCATTGTACTTGTGTTAGTTTAGTATCAATGTATCATACTTGTATATATTTCGTTCGTAGTTAACATGCATGTTCAGGAAAAGATGCATGCAAAGCTAACACCTGCCTACGTAGAATAACAATGATACTTCTTTTTCTAGGAGTTGTGCTAGAATAATAAGAAGGGTAATGCGCGTTTAATTAGTCGTTCAACTCATGAATTCGTGATGAATGCTAAGGTTTTACAATTGATGAGCTATTATTATTTTAATTAGATTTTGCTCATAAATGATTATTCATTGTGAATTGTTTTTTGGTTAGCCCTATAATTTTATCATATTGATAATTGATATATTCCGATCCGTATTTCATTTACCACTGATTTATATAAAAAGCAAGCGTTATTAATTTGCCAATGGCAACTAACTTATTAAAAGGAATAGGCCTACTTATGCAACATGAGACTGACGCGTTTATAATTATTAGGCCTTGTGTTATACAACATTTGTCAAGTTCTAAACGCTCATACTCTGCTAGGCCAATGTCTTTCTTTAAATTAAATGGCGCTATTTATTAACTCTACTGAACTCTACTATATTTTATACAATTTGTTAATATCTCAATTACCCAGCCACTTACATCTTATTATTAAATTAAAATCGATTACTTGATATAAGGTTGGAATTTTTGATGAAACACCCGTCATTCATAAGATGTAGATTAATGCTTATTTTGGACATAATAAACCAAACAGGAATTATAGATTTATAGTGTACGTAAGTGTAGATGCCTAGATGGTCTAACATAATAAACCACTACACACTGTTAAACAAGAAAATTACTAACAACTTAAAACAGAATCGGAGGTCGTAACCGAAATAATAGAACGGGAGGCAGTTAGATATTTTTCTTAATTTTTATTTATTTATTTTTAAATAACGGTAATACTGATTTCAGATAAGGACAAAAAAAAAAAAATAGTAAATCCAATTAAGAGGTCGGCTATAATGTTTCTATATATACCTGATCATATTTATACTAAAAAAAGTGAGATCGAAACTCAGCAAAATTAAAAGAATTTATTAGCAGAAATTACCCAACTCGATCACAAGCTTTCTATAATGGCGGATGAAGAAATTGTTGTCACTGGTATACTTCATTTCTTCAACTTTTCTCTTTCATTTATTTTCTTCTAAGTCCTATTTCATTTCTTCAATTATTTATTTTCATTTTAGTATTTCATTTCTTGAATATATATTTCCCATAAGTTTTGTTTGTTTCCAAGAACCCTCAAATCAACACCCTCTACAACACAACTATCTTCCTGGACCAAAAGGAGCGTACGTTTTGAAGAAGACCGAAGATGGCATTTACATTCGTGTAGACATGCCGGGAGCAATACAAACAAGTGTTAACGTTGATAAGGATAAGGATAAAGATAATACTCGTCATGAGATTCATTTTGGAGGCGTCTCCATGAAGAAAATTGATTTGCCTTTCGTGACTTTCGACAAATCAAGTAGGTGTTATATTGGTACTATTAAAGTTGAATGTCAAGATTTTGAGCAAGTGTTGGTCAATCATCAAGTCAACGATGGTACCTGCTAAATCTTCATTAGTGGTGTTGATAATGCCTACCTCACTTTTCGTACTCCAAACAATTCTGGGTTTTTTTTTTTTTTTTTTTTTTGTTGTTGTTGTTGTTGTTGTTGTTGAAATTATTATTCTTTGATTGATGAAGGATCTTCTAAACCAGCGATTGTGAATGAAAACCATCTTAATCCGGATAGTGTTCGAATTGGTAATGAATTACTTTCATTTATTAAGCATAATTCAAATTTATAAATGTATTTTTTTAAAAAATTTTTTGAAGATAATTATATTTGTTGGAGTTAGTGCTTCAAATTGTGGTTCCTAATTTTTAGTGATTCATAGTCATGCTTGTTAGTGGTCAAATACTTGATTAGTTAGTTTCTATAATAAAGCAATTATTTTGTTAGTGGTAAATAATGCTAGGCATGAATTGTGGGATATGTTGGGTTTGAGAAGTGTGGAGAACGATTCAAGAAGGCTAAGGGGGTGCATAGCTTTGGTGTTAAGCTATGAATTTGTTTAATTTGCTTGGTGCAAAGCAACAATGAAAAGTAGGAGCTGGCTTCAAATGGGAATATCTCAAGATCTAGAATTTATATTGAGATTACTCAAGTTGGAGGTGATAGCTCGTCTCAAAAGCTTTCCAACAACTAGTCATAAGCTCGTTTTGGTCAAGAATCGAGGGAGTTATGGCCATTTTACGAAGACCTGCCTGCGCAGTGCAAAAGTTCGACCGAACTTTTGAAAAGTTTGGTCGAACCATTTGAAGAAATTGAGCTGCTGCTACTGACTGCCTTGTTCGACCGAACAGGTGGTAGGTTCGGTCGAACCTCGTGTGTGCCCTTGTTTTCTACGGTTTTGCGACTTAAGCGATGTGGCTTATTTAAGACCGTAGGATTGTTTTATTTTGCCTAGCACTATATACTCATGTTTTGTCATTGTAGAGAGGGAGTAGTAAGAGAATGAAGGGAAAAATGTAGAAAGAGAGCCTCATGTAAAACCCAAACACTTAGGGTTTGAGTGTTTGAGAGGGTGAGTTTGGGGTGGGAGCTTTCATGGTGAGTGAAAGCTTGTAAACTACATTAATCTTCATCAAATTATTACTCCATAGTGGATTGGTGGGTTTTTCTCCCGGTTCTCGGGTTTCCCACGGTAAATTCTCCTTGTCTCGTTTATTACTTGCTTTTCCGTATTCGTTGTTGTAAATTGTCGTTAATCGCAAACTAGCTAGCACATTCGGTTAATCCTTTCAGGATATGGGCCTTAATTTTAGCATTGTTGTTTTACATTCAGTTAACTTACAATCTCTATTTAAAGCTAGTTGTAATCTCTTTATTAAATGGATTCAATACAAGTTTATGTTCTTCTTTCCCCTCTCTCATCTCTTTATTTATAATTTCAACAATAATAATTAATCATGCATTTAATCATTATTGTACGTAGAGGGACTGTAAAATTTTGTTATGCACGACAAGAACTGTGAATGCTGCTACGGCTTGCAAGGAGATAGAACTTTGAATGGTAAATAATTACTTTCATGTTTAATTTAAAATTATTATCATATATAAATGGCTCTGGATATAATTTAACTAATGAATAAATACGTGTACGTGTATGTTACTGTTATAGGGCCATGGAGCGAAGAGGCTAGTCGTATCAACCCGTTCATAAATAAGAGAGTGAAGGGATTATTCGAAACGACATTCAATTTGGTAAACGACGACTATTACATGTACTTCCGTTTGGATATGCCCGATTGTGCTAAGAACCTTTACATAGTGGACACATATAATGACCAAATAATTGTTCTAGGGCAAAGGGAGTCACTTGTAGAGTGTATATTGGATGATGATGTTGGAAGGAAATACTTCTGTAGGATTTCACTGTAATGAAACTGCTGTTCATTTAATATTCGTCGTATGTGCAACATGCATCAACTACGAGACAAGGTTTTATCGTTACTTGTTAGGATTAATGGCAACAATAATCTGGTTATTCAAGTAAGATCCGTCTGTTACCGATGACAGGCTTCGGTTGGAAATAAATTGTTTGAGCTGGGTCCAAGGCAATATAAATTAGATGGGTTGGGTTTTATGAAACACTCAGATTTAAATGTGCTCACTCTTGCTAGATTATGCTAGACCATCCACGCTAATAAAGGATGGGCAGCTCAACTAGTCAGAGAGAAGTACATAGACTCAAAGCCCAACCCAACACCTTTTAACAAGGGCTCTTTTGTCTGGAAAGCAATTGGAAAAGGTTGGCCAACCTTTGGACAAAGCTTCACTTGGGAAGTCGGAAATGGATTGGAAATCAATTTGTGGGAGGATAAGTGGCTGCTCAAAAAATCACTTCGATCCTTTCTTATAGGGCCTATTCAATCTTCTCAGCTCCAAAGAAACTTACAGTCACTCCATTCTTCATCCAAAGAGTTTCTTAAGCGAAATTTGTCTTTCCCTATCTCTGATCATCTATACTCGCTTCTCTCCTCCATTCAACTCTCAGATAAGCATGATTCTTTCATCTCGGATTGGACTTACTAAGGAAAATTCGATTCAAAAACCCACCTACAGCTTTCAATTGGGATCTTATTTGGAAGGCTTCTACCTTCCCTAAGGTTAGATTCTTCTTATGGCAACTAATTTGGGATAGAATCCCTACTAACCTTAACCTTCACAAAAAAATTCAACAAGTCAGCCCCTTTGCCCTTTTTGTCCTCATATAAATGAACATCCGAAACACATTTTCTTTGACTGCCCTAGAGTGGTTGAATTCTGGGATAACTTTCCAACCTGCCCATCTCCTTACTTTCCTGATGCTACTCATTGGATTAGTTGGTTATCCAGTAATTTCAAGTGCACCAAGCCTTCCCTAAATTCGATCCCTTGAAATGTCCTTTTCTGCTTGCTATCGGGCTCCTTTGGAGGAGAAGAAACTCTTGGATCTTTTCTAAGCACAGCTGCCCCATTAATCATACAATCCGCCAATGCACTTGGGATGCTTCTGAGTGGAATTTCTCTCAAAATACCAACTCAGAAAGTCCAAAGCCCATCCCAGTTGCTTGGTCTCCTCCTCCCCAAAATTCCCTTAAAGTCAATTGTGATGCATCATTCCTTCACTCTTCCAATGAAACAGGATGCGCCGCAGTGTGCAGAAATAATAATGGTGTTTGGATCCAAAATGTTGGCTATCCAACTGAGTTTAGAGTGGATTCTTTCAATGCACTGGGAGAATGTTATCCTTTCTTCTGATTCGAAAAGAGCAGTGGCCGATATTTTGGATAATCAATCCCACTCTAATTTGCCATCATGCTTAAAAACTTGCAGGGACCTGTTACGGGAGGAACACCATGTAGATTTGTGCTTTGAAGATCGGAAGACTAATGCAGTAGCTGATAGTCTGGCCAGGGATGCTAGATGCAATGGGCTGGAGTTAAATCACATTTGTATTTTGCAAAACCCCCCTCCTGTCTGTGTTAATGCTTTAAGCAAAGACCTTTTAGCTGTTACTTATGACTCTATTCTTTTGCATGTTGGTGATGTCCCAGCCAACAATATGTTTGTACTAAACTCTGTTATCTAGCATCCCCATTCTCTAAAAAAAAAAAAAAAAAATAAAATCAGATGGGCCAAAATTTGCTGAAAGATAGAAAAAGGCTTTATTTTGTCAAATTCCATTGTAAATTCCAAGCATTAACTACCAATACAAAACCTTAAATTCATAATGTAGCTGAAAAAACTTGGGTGATAGTAGCTAGAGTTCAGTCTGTTATTGACGTTTTATACAAGTATTATTTATTATTTTCACATGTAACTCCTAAAGTCCTAATCCTTGTCCAAAAAAAAAAACAAAAAAAAAAAAAGGAAAAAAAAAGGACATTTAAGTCCTAATCAATAGCCTTTAATGCTTATTATTTTCCCAAAAAGGATTTACACGAAAAACGCAAATCTCTTAAAGAAATAAGTTTGGCTTTGTTTGGTTCAAAATTAGCAAGGGAATGAGAAAAGAAGGGGAGGAATTGAAAAGGAAGGGAAAAAAAAAATGAAACTATATCATTCAATATTTGGTACTCAGTAGAAAACTATTGGAAAATTCTACATAGTAACCTCGTTGTTTTCACTTTTTTACGCTGTGACCTAACATATATGACTTTCTACGTTGTAACCCTAAAGTACGAAAAGTCGCTATATTGTGACCTTGCAGTTAAACTGCCGTTAGTTGTTTCTGTTAAAACCCAAAAATTAAACTTTTTATTTTTTCTTTTTCATTTCCCCTTTCCCTTCTGATTCTTCCCTCCATAACCACCAGACAATCGTGACCACCACCAACATGGCACCAGTCCAAAACCCCTCAACGGCACAACAACCGCAACTACACCGTCAGCCGACGAAACAGCCTCACAGCCATCACCGACAGCAGTGCTGGCCTCCACCACCTCCAATTCGAACAACAATCGCTCCAATTCAGCCTGTAAATTAGCTAAAATCGATTTACAAACTGAGTGGGCGCTCCATACAAATCCAATTCGTTGATTTGAGGCAGAAAGCTCATAGCAGCCGCTCCGATTTTTTATGCCGGTGAGGGGTTTTGGACTGGTGCGAGGTGGAGGGGTTGGCTGGGTTTTCGGGGGAGGGTCTGGGGTGTTGGTGGATTAGGGGAGGGGTTTAAGCGGCGCCGGCGTTGGGGGGAGGCTGGTGGGGTGGTTTTGGGGTTCGGGTTTGGTGGGATGGTGGATCTAGGGTTTGGGTTTGGGTGGTGGTGGGATGGGGATGGGGATGGGGAAGGGGAGGGATGGGGTCACTGGAAATGGAGGGGGAGGGGTGGCTGACGGATGGGGTGGCAGTGGGGTGGCTGGACGGTGGTGGGCCCCACTAACGAAAATCGTAGCAGTTAACGGAAGCAACTAACGGCAGTTTAACGGCGAGGTCACAGTGTAGTGACTTTTCGTACTTTAGGGTTACAGCGTAGAAAAGTGAAAAAAAACGAGGTTACTTTCCCAAAACTATTTTTAAACTTTATACTTTGTATATTTAATTTCTTTCTTTTCTCCCAAATTCCTCCAATTTTAAAAGGGGGAGATTTTGCAAAGGAAGCTTTTCTTTCATTTCCTTTTATTTCCATTTAATTTTTAAAATCAAACAAAAGAATCCCTATTTTTCCTTTTTTTTCTTTTCTTTTCCTCCCAGCCATAAAGTGATGGCAGGGAAGGCGGCTGTGGAGAACGCTGCTAGTCACCCACAAGGTCAATTTTTGTTTGTCGCGACTTTAAGATTTTGTTTTAAATGTAATTCTAATCGTATAATTCTTGATTAATTGAATCATTTTGCTTCAACTTGATCAATAATTATACGACTGTCTCCTTTTGAACGGAGTATATTGATTATCATTTTGCTTCAAAGGGATAGTCCTGGTATATATGTTGGTTTTTCCTAGGCAACTATTTTTGCTCAGTTGTTTTCTGATGACAAAGTTAAATTGTATTCGAGATTTTAGTGCTTCACCAATTCATATGTTGTTGAATCCATATTATTCTCTAGTTCAATTTTGTTCTGTGTAAAATTGGATAGTAGTTCAGACAATCATAAGTAGTAATGCCATGAGCCCAAGACACTATAAATTGATGCTGCATTATTATTAATTTTAGATTATCTAGTAATGTCACACTACCTAGCTGTGTTTCTTGTTGATCCAATACAAAAATAAGAAGTTAACTGTGTCTCTTGAACTATGAAGAGAACGAAGCACCACATCATCCTCTGCAGAACAACTCGAAACCAGGGCCGAAGGGAGCTTATGAAGTAAAGCGATTGAACAATGGTTTGTACATTAGGGTGGATATGCCTGGAGTACCATCAGCAGATGATGTGAAAGTGAACAACAAGTCTGAAAAATGTTGTATTACTTTCTATGGCAAAGCCCCAAAGCATGAGGGTTGGCCCCTTGATGACTCTCAGAGAGTGTATGCAGGGTCGATCTCTCTGGATCGTGACACTGACTCGATTCCTCTTGAAAAGACATTCAAGAATGGCTGTTTACGACTCTTTTTACCCGGTGCAGATGGACACCTTAGCTTCCTTACTAATCAAGGTTTCGTCGTTTAACTCCCTTTATTTATGGTTCTTTTTTGTTTTTCACTCTATCAGTTCTTCTAATTGACCCTATACATGTGTTTTTATCAATTTAAAATGAAATTCAGAAGAATCTGTGCTTTGTCAAAATCCTGTTGATGAGCAAGTCCATCAACCTGATGTCATTATAGGTATTTACTCTGTACTTGGTTACAAGACTTGCACGTTATTGGAAATTAGGATTTTAATTCGGTTTCTTTTGTTAACCTCAAGGCGGATTGGTTAGTATAAAACGGCATAAGCCTCAGTGCCGCTGTTGTAAAGGAGAACGAGCAGACATCGAAGAAAGTGATTAAAATCCAAGTAGTTGTTAACTTATTATGAACCTCTTTCGTTTCTTGCACTAACAGATTAGTATTTAGCTTAATTACAATTGCATGAATGCAGGTACATGCACCAGAGAAATGTCTTTCATAAACCCAGCAACACTGCTAGGGGTTAGAGGTGTATTTGAAACAAAATTCCTCCAGGAAAAGGATGGTGATGGGTGGGGGATGTACTTTAGGTTTGACATGCCGGATTTCAGTGCTGGAAGGATGTGCGAAGTGAAGGTGGAGAAGAAATGTTGTATAATTTTTGGACCGATGGGCTCAAAAGAGTATCCTCTTGATGAAAGAGGGCGGTCTTATTATTGTAAACTGTCCTTGCGCTGTGATTGCTGCTGCTTCGTCTCAGAGACTGTCGCACGTGAACTAAGAGATGGTGTTATGAGGATGTGGTTCAGAATTTTACCGAAATACAAAAAGAATTCTTCAACAAAGTGAGTTGTTTAATCAGAGTGATATGATCAAGGGCTTTGGAGCTTTTTGAAATGCTAGTTACTTCATTGTGCTTAAATCACTGATCATATCTTGCTTACACTCTATTTGTTTTTACGATCATCAGGCTCAGCACTTCTTCCTCATCACGGCATGTGAGAAGGAACTCTAGTCTGGCCTAGTCTGGGACCTTGATGCAGCTAGCTTTGAACTGTTGGGCATTGATCAGAATAGTAAACACAACAATCTTCTGTTTCTAGGTTAATTTCATTTTTTTAACATTTATTAGAGGAATGCAAGTGCAAGGTCTATTATACACTTGGGTGATTTTCATGGCAGTGTGAATGCCTGCGTAATCAAGTTTTACAATATACACACTACCAAGAAACACTGGGCGCCAGAGATTCTGTACAATAGGTTGCCCTTATCTATCATTTAAAGATGCCGAAATCAACTCCCGCAAAATCTAAGATTCATAATTTGGGCAATAGGTAATATCAGTCTACATGAAACAGATCCAAACTCAAAATCTAAGCAGATAAATAAAAAATGGATCTAATTTAACTCTCATTAACACACTGTAACAACTGAAAAATATCTGTTTACATCATGACCATTCAGTAAATGAGACTTTACATAAAGTCAGAGTCATATAACGCTTTTAAGTACATATATCTACTTATAGGAGAGGCAAATCAACCATATTACCTCTATCAGACTAAACATGCATGTACTTCCGGCTACCACTAAATCTATGATCCGCATCTTACGATTCCATGAACTGGGAAGTCGGGGGCCTTGTTTTTGTCTTTCCATGACCTGTGATTTGAGTTAGTGCTTGTGAGTGAGTAAACATGTACAGAATTGAGGACTAGAGAATGAATAATCAGCATCAATTCTTTTGTCATAGCAGAATAAGTTTAGGTTCAAAATGATGCAAACTTGACTTCCTAATGTCTCATTGTTTCCTTACTCATGTTGTACATCCTGGAACAACCAGCACTGGCATTCAATCAAATAAATTTATTCTCTCACATTCTAAGGGAGGAACTTCTCTTGTATTACCAAAAGCCAAATACAGAACTTCCAGAAGAACGAACAAGGTAAGTTGGTATCTTTGGTACAAATTCAAACAATACTGTGTGGAAATCATGATTTAATGATATCAGATTTCAAACTTCAAACTTTATTTGCTCAGATCTTGAAATGAAAGAGAGAAGGAAAGGAAGGTGAGAAATAAAAAAGGGATGTGGCAATCCTGGTAAAGTTTAAGGGAAAACTTTTTTGAACAGAAGAAAACAATCCTATAAACCAGACCAGGAAATTTAGTCTACCTAATAAATAAAATTTATAAGTCTACCTACCATATCCACGCCTCTCAACTTCACGCCATTCCTGAACAAGGGCACAGCAGCAACACATGCAATGTGAGAGGAAGTCATCAAAGGCACCTCCCTACAAGTCAAAGTGCATATTAGCTTCAGCAGCTGCTTTCTCAATATACTTCGTAAAACAGGACACTAAACAATAGATAGTGCTTGGCAAAGAGCAGTTAATCCTCCATCAACAACTTCTTGTGAATCATGGGAAGCTAATCATTTCAGATAAAATAATAACTACTAAGCAAGAACATACATTAATGTTCAGTGTTTTGCGCAGCTTTCCCCTAACACAACAAGTGTAGCAACAGCAGGAGAGTATCAAAGAATAAGCCACCAGGTCATTGCAGGCTTCACCTGAAGCTGTTCATAAGAGTGAATTTTTAGTAAGCTTTGCAATTGATAAAAAAAAATAAAAAATAAAAAAATCTATACAGAAGTTCCCTGAATATTTCCTCCTTCGCCTTCCACATAAAGTTCTTACATAGTTACATTTGTGCAGAAGAAAGATGTATCTCTACTGATAATCATGCTATTTAACAACAGATAGGCTGCTCTCATTTTTATAGTCCAAAAGAATGAACTTATGACATAAATTTGGACTAGCAATGATCACTATCTCTTGAGACTGCCAATTGGCTAATTAGATCTCCAAAATAGTTTCCATGACTTCGGTGATGTTTCCCTTTGATAAAAATATATTATGAGCAACTAAACTTCTGTTAAATAGCAACATAAGACTGTAGACCAATATTCTAAAAGCAAGACAACTTTGCAATCTCTCCATCAGAAGTTCTTAACAGCAACTGAGTCATATTTGCAATGATACTTACACATATATTTATTATTTGCCACGGTGGAGATTTTTGCAAATGTGCCACAGGGATAGAAGAGAGTCTTCAGACCTGCAGAAGAAAAGGTTGTCAGCTGAACTGGTAAAGGGATAATGCAACTACAACAGACTTGACTACCCAAAAATTTCAATATGCCAATGGCAGTCCTAGTTCATGATCACCCATACTAAAAGAAACAGGGATATACGTGATACATACAGAGACAAGGTTCTGCACAACAGTCCAGTAAATCATTATGCCACTCTTCATAGTGAAATGAACCTCGGTTTGACAGAAGATCACGCCGTGAAGAAAGTGTAGAGCCAGATCTGCACAGGGGATAAAACATTAGGCACTTGCACTTCAAAATTCATAATCTGAAATGTAAGCAGATTTGTAACCACAGCATAATACAAGTACTGATTAGATTGTTGAAATCCATCCTGACTAAATCATTCTGTCATTCCCTATGTTAAATCACCAAAGTAAAACTTCACTGCATTACTGAATAATGCCAGGATATTATTAACCTACCAATGAAGCAACTCCTTGGCAAGATATCTTAATTTTAACAGTTTTCCACATCCAATGGTAAGTGAATTCAAACAAACAAAGGACATTAGAAGGCTATATCAACAGTTTGTATTCTCTGTAACAATTCCTCTCCCTAGCCTCAATTAACAACAGGGGATACCTAAGCATAACATGACAAAGTTATAGGTGTAGATATTTCTCAAGGATGTGGTCATAAAGTGAGACAAAGATCATAATCAGAGAAATTTGCAATAGTTGATGTCAATTGTCTTCAGCTTATATTAGCAACAAGTAAATTAAAACGAATTAGTGATTACAAGTCATATCATAAAATTTGCCTGATATATATCTGGTAGGACTGTTATGTACCTGGAAGTTCCATTTTTCTTGGGGGAGTTGTCGTCAAATGAGTAGTTTTCATCAGTGTAAGATGGCTGGGCTTTCTTTGAGCTTTTCACTGATGCATTATTTTCAGTTTCACAGACCACAGTTGCAGTTTGAGTAACATCAAGCAGGCGCTGGATGACTTCACACTGAGTCATATCTAAATTAGCTTGTGAGCGTTGGAGTTCCATTTGAAGCTTTTCATTCTCTTTTCTAAGTGCTTCATCAAAAGAGCACTTTGGATATGAACAAGAAAGAGTCTTCTTTAGCACCACAGTATCAGTTTCACAGGGTTCGGGTTTCAGAATCACTTGCTGCACCTTTTGATCCTCTTCATCTAAAGTATACTCATGTTGATCCATTTCAATATATTCTAGTTTTTCCTGTCAAATATTTAGTCAATAAATTAGCTTGGCATTAACATTTTTAGTAGCAGCACCAAGCATGTCCAGTAGTCTAATCTATATCTATATTAGATTTATTCTAAAAACAAACAGCAAATTGAGTGAATGATATCATGGTAATGAATTAAGAGTCCAGGTTAATATCCAAACAGCATGAGAGGTTGGTACTTAAAATCTCAAACAACATCTCTTTCTGTATGTTGCACATACAAGATACTGAAGATAGCAAACACACGAACTATGATAGATTAACAGGAAAAGAATAGGTAAGGCAATAATACATTCAGAGATGTTAAAGAAGTCAATAGATTCAGATTTATGCGTGCTTAAGATATCATGAATTTATGCTCAGTCCTCTCAGGGGTAAGCAAGACTTGTAGGACCAAGCCATTCTTGCCAAGGCAAAGGCAACTTTCTCAAAGCCCAAGGGGATATAAGTCATATTGATACTTGGCGTATATAACTACTAGTAGGACTAAAAATTCAAACTAAGCAATAGATTAAGTTATCAGTAGCACCCGCCGGAATAGACATTCAACTTCATACCAAAGCTTTTCATCCAAGTGACAAGTCAACAACACAAGATAGGGACAATTAGGAAGACATAATACATCATATTATGAAGTAAGCAACCCCTAAATGCTCTAAAATGACACTCCAACCACATAAGAAATCCATAATATTCCCCTAAAAGAACAAACTATCAAATCAAAACTGCTTTATGCCGAAATTGACATAATATAATCAAAATATCAGCATCATTACAATTATTTCACTTCAATCAACAAATTAATATACGGTACCAAATTATTTGCTGCTAACATGCCAACATCATAACAAATGATCAACAAAACTTCAGAACCAAAAAAATAAAAATGGCACAAGCATAATTGAGAATTATTACCCTAACTCTGGCATTATCGACGAGAGTAATGAGGGGAACGAGCTTTAAGTAACGATCGATCTCGTTCTGAGCCTTCCTAAACTGATAGACAATATTCCAACCCATAGCAAGCAAGTACAAATAACTTCTATCTTGACAACTATGGACCAAAATGTAAGACCTCCTAAGTGCATCCTCAAGCTGCTCAAGAGGCTCCCGGGTTTCCGGGTACCTCTTGAGCTCAGATATCTTAAGCTGCTCCAACAAATTACCAATCAACTTCAAATGATTAGCAAATTGCCGGCAGTTTTTCCGGTGCATTCGGGCGGTGTTCGCCGCCTTCACTATTAACCCGATTAATTTCACTGCATCAAGCCCAGTTAACTGAGCTATTGTTGCTACATCCCCTAATCCTATGTTATCCATCTCCAAATCTTAACTCTAATTCTCTCTCCTCCAATTACCAAGAACACAAAACCCCAACTGAATTACAACAATCTCAATCAAAAATCAAAAACCCCTTTTTGTAAACATTATCAAATCTTCTTAAAAAAGAAAGCCCAACTAAATTATGGGGTTCCCAAATTAATCTTAAGATTAAACTTGCAGCAATTGAGGATAGATCTTAAGCTGAAAATTCCCACATTCTCTCACTTGAACTGAGTTGATCAGTAAAATTAATTACCTGAGACAGAAAATTTGGGAAAATTAGTTATAAAAAAAGAAAAAGAAAAAAAAAAGAGTAAGTCAAAGAAGAAAAGCAAAAGACCCCATTGTCTGCTTGAATGTATATCTTCAACCAGAAGTCAGAAGAGATTATTAAAAAAGAGAAAATTTACATGCATAAATTAATTCTAGAGAAAGGAGAGAGAAAATAAAAGTAAAAATAAAAATTCGCCAT